TTATCAATAAATTCAATATACACTATAGGGCTGCTACCAGTCAGATTAAATCATTTACACTGCAAATAACAATGATTACAACTGCAATAAATAATGTTATGAGATTAAGGTTTTAAATGCATTTATGAGTATACAAATAAGAAATGTTAAGGGGAAAAATGCATACTTTTCAACATACTTAACTAAATGACCAGTAAGTGACGGTAAGTCACTGAATGAGTGAGTCATTGAGTCATTCATTCAACTGATTGAGTGTGTTATCATGCTGATATCTTAAGGACTTTCGTGGACAGCTGACTCCTAAAGTTTTTGATATTCTTCATATTCTGTGTGGTGGTCAGATAAGTTTAAATAGATTTGTACCTTTTATGGGCATATTACCTTTATAAAGCCATTTTTCTATTTGTGTGCATTATCTTTTGAGTCAAATTCTTACATTTAATCAGTGAATTAGAATAATAAGACATTTGGGCTGTTACCAAGCAAATGAAATCAGTATCAACAAAATTCATCTTTGCAATCCAGACATAAGCTGCATCTGAAGTGGCATTTAGATGTGTTTACACACAGTTTAATGCAGGACATGAATGCATTTAACCTGCAGTTACAAATGCAGAAATAATGTTTTGATATATTAAACAAAACATTGAATACTGATATTTGAAATAATAAAAAAAAATGAAAAGATTCTTTGAATGTGAAATTAAAAGCGCCAGTAGGTGGCAGTAAGTCACTGTTAAGCGAGTCATTGCGACTGAACCGAATCATTTAAACGGTTGATTCGTTCGGGAACGAAACACCGTCATGTTACTCAGAGACTCGAAACAGCGCTGTGGCAGGCAACATGCAATATGGTGTCTAAAACGTAAGTCTCTTAATAAAACTTATAGTTTATTGAACTGTTGTAAAAAAAATCACATTTGTATATTGTAATTTTTGGAGAAAAAAAAGGCACTCTTCCGTGTGAACTTGATTTACTATATGAAGTGGTATAAATATACACATTTTCTGCCCCCATGTCTTGAATTTGTGATCATTCTGAATGTATTTTAATAGACTGAATCATGCAGTGAAAGAGCGCACTGTAAATGCGCACGCGCACTAGACTTCACGTAATGCGTGCACTCTGAAGGAGTTTTGAACGGTTTTTTTTTTGCGTCGTGAGAATATTGAGCAAAATAGCTCACTTGTCATGGTGTTATTTAACTATATCATGTTATGAATAAACTAAACATTTTGAATTTTTACCTCAGTGTGTTTCTTCTGCGTTTATGTGTGCGGTCACGCTCATTTGTTCTGAAGTCTCGAGACAAACAGAGTGAGCCTCAGCGCGAGCTTGTATTCGGTATTCTGCAGTTCCTTCTGATGACGCAGTAACTTACCGCGGGGAAGAAAACATCTTCGGTCTGTCCAATGATTGTAAAGTCATTAGGTCCGTCAGACTGAAGATATTTTAGCGGTAATGAGACCAGAAAAATTTAAGACCCATCGAATCCGAATTTAAGACATTTTAAGACTTTTTAAGGCCTTATATTAGGAAAACGTTATTTAAGACTTTTTAAGGACCCGCGGACACCCTGGTAATAACCTGCGATTGCACTGCATATGTTTAACTGACAAAAGGGAGTTTACCTGCTCCAGGTTTCCACTGTAGGACAGGAGCCACTGTCGCAGGAGGACTGGAGAGCGGAGTCAGTATCTCCCTCTCCTCGGCCATCTCTCGCTCCTTTTCCATTTCCTGCTCGAGTAAAGAGCGGGACAGAGCCAGCGCCACCATTGTGTCCTCATCCAACTTCTGGGCTTTCCTCCTGGCTCTCTTTTTTACAGGCACACCATCCCTCCTAGTTATCGTACCACTACCTAGCTGCTGTCTAAATAAGCATCCACAAATAACCAGTAATGAAATGATTTGAAAAAGTCATCTATTTTTAATAACTCTATGTTTTACTTTTCTTAAACCAGGTTTTCTTGACAGTTAAGCACATTTTCCTCCCTATTTATATTTACTGTAGTGCATACCGATATTTTACTTGAGAATGTATGATTTGTGATAATGTTTTAAAATAAAATCAGCATAAGGTGCAAAACAGTTCTGTGCTGTATACATACTTTCCAATTACTGTGATGAAAATGAGATTTTTTTGCATTACAGTAATAAAAGGTGAAGATAAGAATGTGCATAATAGTCAAGAAAATGTCACATTGAAAAAAAATAAAGTTCTGCATGTTTTTTGTTATTTTTTGAAGTATAAAAATGTTTAACTTGTATACATATAAATTGAAGTATATAAATTCAAGTATATATATATATATATATATACATATACATAAGTGTGTATATATGCACACATCTAAGTATATAGTATCACAAAAATCTAATAAAAATGTAATAAATGGCTGACTTACGATTGGTCGGTGGTGCTGTCGCTCGCTGTCTCGGCAGCCTGTCTCCTCAGAGCCTGGAGAAGATCATTTGGTTTCACACCCATATCAGTCGAGCAACGCTTTAGGTGGACAGACCGGCTTTTTTCTGATTTAAAACTCTTTCCACAAATGGGACACTCTGGGACCCGTGGTCTGGGGTGGGAATGATGGGATGCTGAAGGAGCGCTGCTCTCGCTTGCATCTAAACATCTACGAAGCAGGAGAACGAGACAGATGTCAAAAGTAAAACTCATCCCATGTGTGGAATATGAATGATGCTTCATAATGCAGTGTACACAGTGGTGATAACGCACCTGTTGATGTGCTGAGTGCGTAGTGGAGGGCTCATGGCTGACAGATCTTTCTGACAGAGCTGGCAGAAGAACAATCCTTCATCTTCCACGTCTCTAGAGGACCGAACCTCACGATCCAACACCTGCTGGAGCTGAAGAGCCAGGGCCTCGTCGCTGCTCACATCTTCTGTAGAACACACACAAACACATACACGTTTTGACTTTCACTGATTACATGAAACATGCCATAAAAGCATGTTTTTTTTGTTTTTTTTTACAATTATTGCAAAAAATAAAAAATAATCACTTGTAATATAACATGTATAATTATATATATATTTTTTTTTCAATTCCAAAATTGGATACTTAAGGTCAGGACTCGGATACTAGTAAAATTAAAATTGAATTCCACCAATCAATTCCTGTGTGCACATCTTTTCTTTATTTTAAGAGGCGAAAAGGGGCTGTTAAAAATGTATTTGTCTTTGAATAATTCATTCAAAAACACGGATTCATCCAGTAATGAAAATCTTGAGCGAGTCATTGAATCATTCCATGCATCAATTCCATGTGATTTTGTTTAGTTGTCTAATATTTTTTCTTCAGAATTGTGAAATACAACCTTCATTAAAAAAAAACATAAGTCTCAATTTATCCAGAATCGCGCTGCTCTTTTTTGCACACAAACAGTTCTTATCGAGTCCAGTTTTTATGTAGCCGGCTGATTTTTGTTCATGGCAAAAAGAGACACAGGTTAATTATGTTTGATATCTAAATGTTTGACTTAATTTCTTTAACCACATTGGAATCAAAACTGGGAATCGATAAGCAGAATCGGAATCGATAAAATTCAAATGATACTTTAGACAAATTACTTTTATTGATGATGTTAAAAGTCTCAAGCCATAAAGACATGTACATTTGATTTACAATGATATTTTGTGTTCTGAATTGTGTTGATTTGAGTAACAAAGTTACAAAGCGATCCATTTTTATGACTGTTTTGAACCGTATACCACAGTTCACAGTTTAACAAAAAATAATACATTTATATAATATTATAATAAAAATAGTATAATAGTTTATAATAATAAATCATAGTAAATTTAATACATTTACGGAGTCCTGGAGTTATACTTTAACATTAACAGTTATTATTGCACATTAACAAATGTTCTTTTATAATGAAAAAAATCCGTACATTACAAATCTATTTTTTATGTTTTATATATAAACACATAAACATTTTTATATATAACGTATTGAATTTTTTATTCACAATATTAATTACAAATGTATTTTTTGGTGGAGGGCCATGAAATCATTGCTTGGGCAAATAAAAGTCTAAAATGTTCAAGAAAAAAACAATACACTTGTACCCCAACCAAACCAAAAAATATTTATTGCTGATGGTTGCATAACATTGAAATGACCTGGTAATGAACTAACTCTACCTTAAAGGGACAGTTCACCCAAAAAGGAACATTTACTCACCCTCACGTCATTCCAAGCCTGTACGAATTTCTTCCTTCTGAAGATACTTTGAATAATGCTGGTAACCAAACAGTTGACGGTAGCCATTGACTTCCAGGAATGAGAAAAAAGTATTGAATTCAATGGCTGACAACATTCTTCAAAATACTTTCTTTTGTGTTCAACAGAAGAATACAACTCGTACAGGTTTGGAACAACATGAGGGTGAGTAAATGATGACCATTTTCATTTTTGGGGTTAAATTTGTTTTTACTACCTAATGAGCTGCACAACATTATAAAATGTGGTATGGTAAGCGCCATGCTTTTATGAAGTTGAGGGACTGGGTGAGGGTCCCTGGGTTGAAAACCCTGCTTGACACCATACCTGTGAGCTGGATCCCAGCAGCGGTGAGATGGTTTCCATCAGACTCTGTGCTTGTGGGCTGGTCGGTCTCTGCATGCAGGAGTCTCTCTGGACTGGCTCTCTTAAACCGTTGCATTCTCCGGACCACTGCATCTTTGACTTTCCCTGTGCCAGATACTTCAGGATCGGGCTGAGAAACATCACCAGACCCTACAGCCCGAGTCCTGCCATTGATCTTACTCTTTATTTCAGTCTTAGTAACACCCTTGTCAGTCTTCTTCCTCCTCTTAGGGGGGTTTCTTCTAGAAGAGGGGGAGGATGGCTCCTCATCCTTGGTTGCTGATCTCTTTTCATCTCCAGAACCCCCTGCTCCTTTCCTCCTCACTCTTTTGAGGAGACGAGAGCAGAGGTCGGTGAAGTCTTGGTCCGAGTCGTCCATGATGAGCCAGTCACACACATGATCCGTCACATGTGTCAGCTCTTATATGGATCCATATTTATGGATCATTAAACGTCATTTGTATTTTAATATTGTGGATAACATGCACGAAACTACAAGCTTATCTGGTCAGGCGCATTTTATACACTCATGAAAAACATCATATTTACCTTTGTTTACATTTCACTCTGCTACTATTCGAACGTGATTATATCGGTTAACGTACTTGTATTACGATTCATTCCATAACAACGTGAATACGGAGCGTTAGCAAGAGGCACTTCATTATATGTCTGTGAACCGGATGATTTAATGTCGCAAAACGACGGGGTTTTGATAAAAATGTTGTTCAAAGCACCGTCCCGCAGCCGCAGCCGCCTACTTCCGGTGACGTCCAGTACGCTGCGTCGATTGCGAAACATCTCCGAGTCATGATAATTATGGGAATCTTTTAACTTATGAACAATTCATGCGAATCCACAGTTTCCCTGTGCATTTTAAGGAATTTAATTCGGTCATTAAAGCTATTCCTCCTACTCTTGTTCATCTTGTTAAAAGTCATATTCACTATAACTCTACAATAATGACAAAACCAAAATTAATTTTAAACGGTCTTGAACTGATTGATAAAAAATACAATAACAAACATATTTGTACTGTTTTCCAAAAGCAAAATAAAATAACACCTAGAGGGGTGAAATTGTTAAAAAACAGAAAGTCATTAACATGTTTAAAATATTATGACATTATTTTCAGTGCCCGTTACTAATTAATATCACACTTTGTATAGCACTGACTGTCTTATGCTATGCTCTGTTTGTTATTTGTTCTATTTTCATTAATAAAAAAAAATAAAATAAAAAATAAAAAAAACATCTCCGAGTCATGTGACTGAACTTACGAAACGGCGAAATTGCTAAAAAAAAAAGATAGATGGTAAATTACATTACATATTGCCAATAACTAGTTTAAGTATTTATCAATTTTGATAATTAAATAAGCCAAAGGACGCTACAACCTAACATGCTCAAAGTAGCTTTAGCATATAATAATAACAGAATCCACATGATTTTGATCTGTTGCACACAGTTTATTTAACAATATGGTATACAAGTAAGAAATGCGTTTTTTTTCCAACCAGTTTATACAGTGATTCCATTCTCTCTTCCTTATATTTATAGTACTTTGCTTAATAACTTGCATGATTTACATAAAAGGAAAAAGTAGAGCCCCTGTTCAAGTTTGTGTGAGAGGAATGAGGGTCAATAGCAGAATCCATTCTGTGTTTCCAACAAGCAGTCAACCAGTGATCGCCCATTCCCTCCCGCTCAGCTTAGGGGCCCCCCTCTCTCCTTTCTCTCTAGCTCTCTTTATATTTATATATCTGTAGGACAAAAAGCAACAATATTCTACATCTGCAAGACAGAACCTGTGTATCCAGGCCAGTGAGATGTTGTAAATGTGTACATGTCCTCTTGGGGTCGGTGCTGTATTGTCTGAGTGATGCACATGTGTGTCTGTCTGTGTGTATGTCTGCATACATGCGTATGCACAGTTCCTATCAATACAAACAAATAGTTCTCCTCGTACAAACTTCACAATGAGGAAAGGAGGAAATGCCTTCAAATGCATGTCTGAAAAAACGGTACAACACTAGAATACAATCGGCAGGAAGGATGACAGACAGAGCAGAGAAACCCTGACCCAAACTCTCAGACAAATTATTTTACAGTCTTCCAACACAAAAATGCTGCAAAGTTAGATAAAGTATAAAACAAAAGGTATGAATAATATAATGAAGTTTCGTAATTTTCTTATAAAAAAAAAAAAGGCATGAAACCAGACCACCCTCCCCCGAAACCAAAACTAAAATTTAAAACAAAACATTGACCACACAAAGGTCTAAACTGAACAAAAAATATATTCTTTGTGATTTATATTTCTTTTAAACAACAATTTTTCTTGTGTTTTTAGGAAACATCAACATTCCCTATTCCTTGTTGACAAATTTCTTTTTCCCCCCCATACATTTCTTCAAACTTTTTTACATGTCAGTACAAAAAAATTCGAGAATATTAGAGAAAAACCAACAGAGACACAAAAAAAGAGGAACGAGGAGACTGTGGTGGGTGGAGTCTCCCAGTAAACGCTACAATCCCTCCACAAATTTCTCCAGCGTGTCTCCCGTTGTGTCTCCCACCATGCCTAAGTCACTGGGCAGCCCTTGGCGGTTGGGCGTATTAAGTTGCGGGAGCATGGCACTCTGCTCAGGTGTGCCCAGGTGCACCTGCTCCATGGAGCCAGGCATGGGCGTCGTCAATCCAGGGTGTGGTGATCCTGTGTGCTGTGGCGAAGGCTGTGGCTGAACCTGTGGGGAAGGACTGGAATGTGGAGGGGGCTGCCGCGACGGAGGTCTGGGCGACTGTACGGGGGCCGGCGAGCACACCTGATTGCTGAGTGCATTAGCCATGGGTTGGCCGGGGAGGTGCACGCCTTGTGGCTGGCCGGAAAGCAGGTGAGTTTGTGGGCTCATGGGACTCGGTTGCGCGGGCGAGCCCATTGGAGACTTGAGGATGACCTGCTGCTGCTGCTGCTGCTGCTGGAGCATGCGTTGGTGCAGGAGGTTGGATGTGCCGTCCATTCCCATCCCGGCTTGCCCCATCTGGGCCATAGGGGGCAGCTGTCCCATGGGTCCGCCTGTTGCCTGCATGGCCAACTGTTGCTGCTGCTGCTGCTGCATCCGGAGTTGCGTGTAGTTGGTAGCAGTCCCTTGTGCCTGTGGGAACTGGCCATGTGCCTGCGGCATCACTGCCTGCTGCTGCTGCTGCCGCAAAAGCTGACGGCGGTACAACTCCTGCAGCTGCGGGTTGTTGGCGTGCACAGGGTTCATGAGCTGCCCCTGCGCTCCAAGAGCTGCCATGCCCTGTGGAGCGGGCTGCTGTGCTTGCTGCTGCGGCGCCATGCCGGGTCGTGGCACCGCCTGCATTGCTGCCATGTTCTGCGCTGCATGCATGCCTTGTTGCGCTTGTTGCTGCTGCGGCTGGTTGGCGTGGTACTTGGCAGTCCTCTGCTTGATGAAGGCGGCCATGAGTTGCGGGTTCGATTTGAGGATGTTCAACACCTGCTGCTGTTGTTGGGGCGAGCTGGGCGACTTGAGGGTGAGTAGCAGGTCTTGCAAGGCATTGGGGGCGATGGCTCCAGGTCTCTGGAGTGCTTGCGGTCGCGGGCCCTGCGTGGGCACCATCATGCGTGGCTGTGCAGCTTGTTGGGGCATCATGGGCCTCTGTATAGGCATGGTCTGTGGTGTGGTCTGTGGTGGAGCAACCTGCTGCTGAGCCGCTTGCATGCCTGGCTGAGGGCCTCTAGTCCACTGTCCTTGCGGGATTTGCGGCATGACCTGTTGCCCGCGTGGCCCAACATGTTGCATGGGCAGCTGCATCGAGCCTGGCATGCGTGGCTGCTGGTGGTTCATGGGAAGGCCATTCATGGTCATGCGATAGTTCTGTTGGTGCTGAGCCTGCGCGACCATCTCTATGTGCCGTGCCATTTTGACCGCCATAGGCGGAGGCTGTTGCTGAGGAGGCTGTTGTGCCGGTGGCTGCTGCTGCTGGGGAGGTTGCGGGAGCGGAGACTGCTGCTGGTGTAGCGGGGGAGCCTGTGGGCCTGGTTTGCCCTGTGAAGCTTGAGGAGGGGGTTGTCCTTTGCGGGGGAGCGGAGGCTCCTGCTGGTGTAGCGGGGAAGCCTGTGGGCCTGGTTTGCCCTGTGAAGCTTGAGGAGGGGGTTGTCCTTTGCGGGGAGCATTGGGATAAGCTGGGGACATGACGCCCGCATTGGGAGTTGTTGGCTGGTTGGATAGCGGTTGCGGCGTTTGAGGGGTGTTGGGTTGCTGATGTGAGGTGGGCGTGCTGGGGGCTGTTGATGCAGGCGGCGAGGGTAGGCTCTGAGGCATGGCTCGGCCCTGCATAGTAGCCATGCGTCTGCGCATCATCTGCGCCTGCTGGAGCCTGTGCTGCAGCTGCTGCTGACGCAGTTTGTGCTTGATGTTGAGGCAGAAGGGCACGGGGCACTTGTTCTCCTGACAGTGCTTGGCATGATAGCAGCAGAGTGCAATGAGCTGCTTGCACACCGGACAGCCACCGTTTGTCTTGCGTTTGCAGCCCTTGGTGTGCTGCACTACACGCTTCATCTTCTGACAAGATGGCAGGGAGCAGTTGGCATTGCGGCACTGGCAGGCATGCACCAGAGACTGGATGCAACGCTGGATGCTTAGACGCCGACTCTCCTGTGGACTCTTGGAGGCCTCGCCGTTTTGACTGTTGTCATCGTCTAGACCCAGACCCCACTTAACCATCTGGTGCTCGTGGCCCTTAGTGTTGTAGCAACTAATGCACAAGTCAAAGTCCTAAGGAAAGATGAGGATAGAGTGATTATCAAGGGATGACCAGAAGTCTCCTTATGAAAAGACAAGAAATGGTTATGATGCATCAACAACAAATGGACAAAACGTGAAAGATGTGTTTAAGCTACTAGTAGAATAGTTGTTACTAAAAGATCCCACGGCTTCCCAAGTTTCATTATCCCAAAGGTTTACTTTTCTTATGCACAAACCCATAAACACACCCACATTCACTACTGATCATAAAGGACAGCTGTAACTTGTTACAGGAGCCTCTGGATCTTACCTCGCAGACAGTACAGTGCCAGCGTGTCTCGACATGGTGTTTACATTCGTTGCAGGTGTAGACAAAGCGGTCCTGGCCCTGGTTGTGCAATTCCACCAGCATGCACATGGTGCTCCATTTGCAGCGCCGTAAAGAGCTGAACTCCCAGTGTTTATCCCGTGCTAACGTCAAGAATGCGTCCCTTCCGTCCATCAGGTCGCAGGTCAAAAGGGTATCGGAGTCAACAATGGGTAGTAATGAGTTGACCATGGGCCCAGAGTGCAGATGGATTATAAAAAACACCTGGGAGAACATGTAGGACACGGTAAGAGGTTTCTCAAGATTTTTCCAGAGAAAAACACTTGGCTTATATATGCATATCAAAATCTGACATGCAAAACAGTAAAACTTTCAAGTTAAACAATGTACTGTACATGAGTCATGCAATGCCTTTGAGAGCAATTTTATGATCAGATGAAGAACATATAGTAGACCTCTTTGTGTTTCTCCATTGCGGCGTAGAGTTTCTGAGAAAGATCACTGGCTACATTCGGCATCCCAGGTTTCTTTTTATTAGCTCGGCTCACGCTGCTTTTATTCTTATTTGTTTTCTTGTTGTTCTTCTTCTTTGCATTCTTACTGTCCCCTGGCGTGCCCTGTTAGAAAGAATAAAAGAGTC